AAGTCAACTACACCTCTAACCCTCCATTACAACGCCCCTTCACACAGGACATTTTGTAAGGTAGGTCGAAGTGAGCTTGGGGAACACCAACATCCAAACTGAGCTTCACCTGAAACTCATCACCACCTCGTCGGGGCCACCCCCCCAGGCCACCCCCCAGGTGTGAGGGCATCGGGGTAACCTGTGACAAACAGCAGGGCCACACCGATTCACATGCTGGCACCCGGGAGCCTCACGGTCTCTCGTCTGTTTTTTCCCCCCTCTCTCCTTTACTCTCTACAGAGTCTCTTTTTATCTCTCATCTCCCCCCTCCCCACCCGCACCTTGACGTCAGCGGAGCGTTTTATCACTGTGATATATTAACCAGGGGAAGCGGGGCCAGATGTGGGCCGTTTCTCTTCTCTCCAGCAAGTAAAAGAGCTCCGTCAGAGCGGGAGCTGCAGACAGAGCAAGCTGCTCACACAGGGGCCAGCTGTGTGCAGGGGGAGAGACAGAGAAGAAGAGAGAAAGGGGGAGAGAGAAACAGAGAGAGAAAGGGAGAGGGAGAGAGAGAGAGAGAGAGAGAGAGAAAGGGAGGGAGAAGGGGAGAGAGAAGGGGAGAAAGAGAGAGAGACAGAGAGGGAGAGAGAGAGAGGAAGACAGAGAGGAGAAGGGGAGAGAGAGGGAAAGAGAAAAAGGGAGAGAGAAGAAGAAGAAAGAGAAAGAGGGGAAGAGAAAAAGAGGATAAGGAGAAAGAGAGAAAGAGGAAGACAGAGATGAGGAGAGAGAGAGGAAGAGAGAGAGGAGAGGGAGAGACTCATTTTCATAGCATGGCATCCATTCCCAAACAGAGAATTCATGACACCATTTTACAACATAAGAGGACAGCTTCATCTCAGCTGTTCTGGGATTTTACTTCACTTTAATTAGAATGCAGGTACTTGGTTTCGGTTGTGTCCTTTAGCGGCTCACTGTGCCTGTACTCTGTAAAAGAGCCAAAACTGTAAAAAAGAAAAGGAAGAGAATGTCCTCTGGCCTCACAACATCCTTCATGAGCTCTGTCAACAAGCACAGCCACAAAACGAGGGCCATAATTTGGCCGCCTTCTCAAACAGCAGGGTGGTGAGGGTGTGTGGTGTGAGAGAGAGGGATCAAGAACGTCAGCACAGAAGCTCCTGTGCAACTCACACACACACGCACACACACACACACACACACACACGCGCACACACACGCGCACACACACACACGCGCACACACGCACACTCTCACACTCTCACACACATGCCCGCACACACACGCGCACACACACACACACATACACTCACACACACACACACACACACACACACGCGCGCACACACGCGCGCACACACACACATGCGGACGCACACACACACACTCACGGACGCGCGCGCACACACACACACACACGCACGCAGACGCACGCAGACGCACACACACAAAAACACACGATCACACACACACACACGCATGCATGCACACACATGCGCACACACACACGGTTACATACATGTAGGCGCAAGCACACACACATACAGAAACACACCCATACACATGCACACACACAATCCCTTCAGTGCCGCATGGAAGAACTCCTGAAAGACTTGTCTGTGCTTATTTTGCACACTGAAGGAATACGCTCATTCAGGGTATATTTGGCGACTGCAAACCCAGTAAACAACATTAAATTGATAAGCCGGACAGTGGTGTGGTTCAGAATAAACACACTGCCAAAAAAAGCCCTGCTCAAATGCAACAGACGTCCTGCATAGGTGTCTACCCTCCTAGTTTAAAACACAGTGCTGTTCATTTAGGAAACCGACCCTGCTACCAGGATGAACTGCGCTGTTTACAGTTACACAACATTTACATTACTGTCATTTAGCAGACACTCTTATCCAGAGAGACTTACATAGGTTACAATTTTAACCATTTATACAGTTGGATATTTATCGAGGCATTTGTGGGTTAAGTAAATATCCAGCTGTATAAATGGATAGTACTTAAGTCGTTCTGGGTGACCGCTTCCCTGCCCAGTTTAGGCCTCCATCATTCACACACATGGATATTTACTGAGCTGAGCCACCTCAGCCTCCCTGATTAACAGTTCCACACTGGAGTCCCAGCAGGGATTACAATCTGCAACCCGGGCACAGGCCTGGACCTCCCAGCACAGGGTAAGGCGAGTGTCTGCCCCCTATCTATCCCCCTTGGGGTTTCGGAGCCACTATGTCCCCTGTTCTGGCACAGTCACAGTGTGCTTCGGCCTCTGTGTTCACACGCGACCTCTGACACACGTCGTAATGCCAGGCATTAAGTCACAGCCTCAAAGCTGCCCTCACACTCAGTCATTCTGTCCCAGTGTGGCACTGCGGTCATGAGTCGGGCTGGTAACCAAAATGCTGCTGGTTCGATCCCGCACTGGGGCACTGCTGTTGTTGTATCCTCGGGCAAAGTACTCAACCCAGCACTGCCTCAGTAAATATCCAGCTGGATAACACATAAAAACTGTAACCTACATAAGTCGCTCTGGGTAAGATTGTCTGCTAAATGGCAATAATGTAATGTAAAGTCCCATCTCTTAAAGGCACTCCTATGTCAGGTTTAAGTCCTGCCTCTTCCCGCGCTCTTTAGAGGACTCCAACGCGTTCTTACAAGACTCGCCCTGTCAACGGCTGCCTGTGATACCTGCGTTCTTTACGTGCAATCCAAACTTTCACGTTTCGTCAGCCGTTCTACAGGGAGAGTGAACATCTTGTTCCTACACTCTTCCTTGGTTCTGCGCGGGGTCCTCAACCGCCAATCGCTGCACTGGAATCCTGTCAGGACCCGCCACATTCTGTCTCTGTTTGCTTACCTTTTATATGTGCTCACTACATGTCTATTAAATACATGTGCTGTTGTCACTTGATCACTATCTGCCCGTTACATGCATGTGCTTGTTTATACTGTTTCATATTTTATCCCTTCCCTGATCCGTGGCTCTGCTCAGGTTATCCAGCGTGAAGCAGCAGTCTGGCTCAAACCCTTATATCTCTCAGATCTCTGGGGATTTGCTCATACAGTCTTAACTGCTTTCCGACTTAAAGTACCTGCTCAGCCTGAAGATTTTTTAACTCTCGAGTCCTCGCCTGCTGTTGCAGCAGTCATCTCTATAAACACAGAATTCATAATTTGGGGATTTCGGTTCAGCTCCTGGAGATCATCTGACTGATCAGTGTAGCATCATGGTAAGGAGCAGGGCTCATAGCCAAAAGGCTGCCAGTTCGATTCCCTGCTGGGACACTGCTGCTGTCACCTTGAGCAAGGTACTTAACCCAGAATTCCCTCAGTAAATATCCAGCTGTATAAATGGATAACATGTAAAAATTGTAACCTATGCAAGTCACTCTGGATAAGAACATCTGCTGAAATGACAATAAGGTAATGTAATCTGATCACACTCCAACAGAGGAACTACCCAATGCAAGTTGTCCTTCTTCTTTCAGTCAGTTTGTGTTGACTCGAAGACGTGACTGACGTTAAAGTTCACCTACACGGTTCCCGAGAAAACCGAGTTTTCCCTAGACGAGCGTTCGGCGTGACATTTAAAACCCTGCCGATTGTAGCTAGACTCGGTCCGGCCGAACGCTAACCCTTCATGGTGCCGGGCACCTCATGCGACCGACATGGCACTGAGAGCGCGTGCCAACTCCCGCGAGGGCTCATTAGCGGCCTGTGTGCAGCGGAGGGAGACCGAACGCTAATGAAGACGGAGAGGGCTCGAGCCAGCCGAACAAACCCTGCTGGAAACGGCACCGGGGAACCAAACAAGCAGCCATTGTCCCGCACCAGGATACTGCCTCTCTTTCTGCAGCTGCGCCTCTGTCCGCCGCCCCTCCGCCGTCACAAACGGACAATCCCATGGTTCCGAGCGAGTGGGCCTGGGAACCAGCCGCAGGCCCCATGGGTCAGACGCAAAGTGCCCCGCCAGAGGGTGTCCCTTGTGTAAAGTGGGTTAGGGGGCGAAATCCGGCCACGCTCGGTTGGTTCGTTTTTGTTTCAGAGAGACCGCGCCGCTGCCCCCATTAATCAGGCCTTTTAGGTCAACACCCAGGCTCCGCGCGGTTTGCAAAACAAATCTCTGCCTGATGCCCAACAGGTCAACACTGGGACCTGTAATGTAGCGCGTTTCCAGGAGCCTTCCACCAGACGCACCTATGCTCGCAGTCACCGCCACGGAGGAGCCAGAGAGCTGCGGACTGCACAACAGACTGGCCTGACGCCCACTGCAGGAGAGGGGAGGCTGTCTAGACAGCTGCCTGCAGCGGGGCCCTCTGCCCTCCTCTACAGAGCCCGCTGTAGCACTGGTGGAGGAAGACATGGTGTAGAATAGGCCGAATGAAAAGACCTATTCATCCAATAATGACATGCCTCTCGGTCTAGCCTCGGCCTCTCGAACTGTCTGCGCTCTTTGGATCCAAATGAGCCACTGTACATTCAGGTAAGAGAAATTCAGCCTACTGTGAAAAAACAGACTGACATACCCAACAAGGGAGACTGAATGGATACTCGCCAGCTAACAGCGGAATAATATTCCTGGCAATCATGTTTCAGCCGCAAAGCAACCAGTGGTATTGTCATGTACTTTCTTATTATGCAATTCCAGATTTACTAAAAACACTATGGTCAATAACAGAGCAAGAGTTTTACATCTTGAATCGATATCTATTCACTTCAGTGAGCGGCTGAGCGTGGTGTATGTAAAACTGCAAACAGAAGCAATAGGAACAATCACTAGATTCCAAAAGTCTAAGAAGTGGAACAGACACCACATATATTCCATGCTGGTGGATGCAGACTGCACCATTATTACATTTTTGTCATTTAGTAGATGTTCCTATCCAACACGACATACATAGGGTACAGCAACTGTACATAGGGTGCAGTTTTTGTTATCCATATACAGCTGGATATTTACTGAGGCAATTCTGGGTTACCGAAAGGTACAACAGCAGTACCCCAGGGAGGAATCGAACCGGCAACCTCTCGGTTAAGAGCCCTGCATCTTACCACTACACCACACGGCTGCAAAACAGAAAACAAGAGCAGTGAAGAGACGAGGGAGCACAGCCTGGCTTCAGCACACAGCTGAGGATGCAATACCAACACCTGGCCTGTTTGGTAAACTTTCGGGGGCTGTAAAAATGCACAACAAGTTGCACAATTGTGAGTAATTTTCCACGGGAGTTGAGCCTCCCGCTGAGTTGCACTGTGAGGATCTGCTCCGCCTAAGATGTCCATGGCTTGAAACATGCCAGATTCCACAGGGAAGCCCCCGAGGCACTGTACGGAGTTACGAGGGAAAATGTTGCTCAGCCCAGCCTTTAAAACAGGCCTTCCCACAGAAACCTGTGAAGGCACACCTTCACTCGCAGACTACAGCAAGGGGCCTGTAAATATTACGGAGTACTTTATATACAATTATACAAACTTGCCAAAGCGGTTTAATGAATATTACTGGCACAGCCCCTGCTGATGCGAGGTACAAATGGTAACATTTGTTTTATTTAATCGTTAGTTCAGTGAGTGCACACACCCAGCTGTTGCAGATGTTGTTAAAGCCACATAATATAGCACTAATATAACTGGGAAAAAAAAAACGTTTCACAATTTAAAGATTCTGTGTGAATATTTTAGATTAATTCCTGTTGTAAGCAGGATGTGAGAATGCGCATTTCAGGCTGCCAACACACCTAACTGAATCCACACTTGTCTGAGACTGAGTAATAGCAAGCAGCAGTGTTGGTGCAGGTGTATGAGCTGAGAACAAAAGCTTTGAGGAAAAGTACTACTGCTTTATTCATCGACAGTATGGAGTAGGTGATCAAGAGGAGACCTATTGTATTGATTTTTACACTGCCTTCTGCATTTGTTGAGGAAATATCTTAGCTCATCATCTACAGAGCAGTGTCTACAATACACTGTCTTAGCAGAACTTACAATTTTTGCTTGTTATCCATTTGTACAGCAGGATATTTACAGATGCAGGTTATGTACCTTACCTGGGGGTACAACAGCAGTGTTCCATCTGGGAATCAAATCAGTCTTAGGTTACAAGCTCTGCTCCTTACCGCTACACCACACTGCTGCCCTGCTCCTTACCGCTACACCACACTGCTGCTCCTTACCGCTACACCACACTGCTGCCCTGCTCCTTACCGCTACACCACACTGCTGCTCCTTACCGCTACACCACACTGCTGCCCTGCTCCTTACCGCTACACCACACTGCTGCTCCTTACCACTACACCACACTGCTTCCCTGCTACTTACCGCTACACCACACTGCTGCCAAGAGGGACAGAGTTTAATTGACCAAAGCTATCACTCGAATTGGCATCATGTAGCATACATAAAAAATATTTATATTAAATCAACTGCGGGGTCAAACATGCCAAACTGTGGCATCTGCTGCTTCTTTGAAATGACCTGCATCTAACAGTTTTCCATGAAATCACTCCAGCGTTACAGATCAAGCACACCTCATAGCCGTAAACAATCAGCTCCTGAAAGCACCCCCTCAGACACCTCAGACATCTCTTTCATGAGGGAAAGACGACTTTGGTAAGATGTCAAGTGCCCAGCGACAGCGTGACACAACCAGAGGTGCGGCTCTCATATCAGTAGTTGGGAGGGACACATTGTGCTGTGTTCATGCATGGTTTATTTAAATAGCCTTTAGGCTGCATGCTGGTTAATTTATACGTTCTGATATTATTCCTTTCACGTCAGTCATAATATTCTCCTAAATACATACAAAAATAAGGTATAAAGCGGTCATTTTCCCTCACTGCCCTTAGCATGCATTCTTGCTCTAAAATGTTTTCGGGCTTTTTTGTTCCAATTGCTAACGCTACAAAATATACAAATAAATCTGAATAGTTAAAGCTATGCATATGTTGCTTTAATTGCTAACAAATGGCCACATCCCAAAGGCTATGCGTCGGAAATGAGCTTCACCATTAACGCGCTATAATTAAAATATTACAACAAATGCATATTTAAATAAATCAAACATTCTCACCTTTGAAAATGTGGAATCACTTCCTACTGTTCCGTCTTTGCTGGCTGAAATTCCTGGTTGCTTTTTAACCTACACAAACGATGTCAAAAGAAACGAGCAGAGCACGTCTGTTACACTAGCTCTCTACCTAGTTAGTTAGTTATACTAGCCATCTAAACAGATCCAACTCCTGTAACCTGGGTTGTACAAAAGAAAAAGAAGCTTTGCACTGACTGTCTGTAAACTGAGAACAGAGCAAAATAAAATTCAAATTTTATCAAGCATTAACTATTTCATTTACCATCACACCTCAACTCGTTGCAACACACTTTATACAACTAGCATTAGATCCATAACGTTTCATTAAGGCTATCTTGCTGTCGAAGTAAAGTAGCTTGCAACTACTATGCACTAACTGGTAGGCCTACTCAAAGTCTTAATCGGTTTCCTGAACGTGGTTTGCATGCTGTTTAATTCGATTAAACAAACCCAGCTAGCTCGCCGACATTAACTTATATCAACTTCTTTAACTGTATGTTAAGCAGACGGGGCTAGCTTTTTCGCTAAAGGTGATCGCTAGCGAGAAAGCAATCAGCGGACTCGTTTATGTTAGCGAGCTACGTAACGCACGCAGAAAAGTCGCACAGGTAACTCGGGTTTAAACAGACCTTATCCCCTAAAAACGAACAGGTGGTTTATACTGATAGAGCCAGATACCCTAGATGCTTTAAACGCTGTCAATATCTCTCTTTTTGCCCACTTACATCACGTTAGCTATGTCAGCTCGCATTGCATTGCCTTGCTGTGTTGTGACTCATTCTACACAACACAGAGACTACTTCTCCGATGCATTTATTGTCCGGCATGCGCCGATATCGCGACCTATTGCAATAGAGTGTTGATATAAAACGGTAGGATGGTAGATGCACGTAAGTGACGTCTTTCTGAAGGGGGTAGGATGGGGCGGCATGGGGGGGTGGCATGTGTACACCCCTGGAAAGAACACATTATAACGTACTATAATGTGTTAATTGTAATGTGTACCCACATAGTCATGCACCACGGGACATACAAAAATATGCAAGTATGGACACACACACACACATATTTTCTCAATCAATGGGATACGCTGGAATTCAACCTTCAACCACAGAAATCTGAAAGGACACAGCCGTAGAGTTCACACCAACAGGGCAGGACACAGCCAAGTCCTGTGGCCTGTTCTGGGAATAACACCTCCCCATAGCTACTCTGTCCTCAGACGAAGAGAACAGAGAGGCCGCAGGCTTGGACACAGACCCTCACCTCTGTTGTCATGCACTTTTGACCCATTGAATGTGGCCAAGACTCGGTCTCACGATCTCAGTATGTACCCTCCTCTGCTGGTTTTCCTGAGATAATCCCAGCAGTGTGCTCTGTAATATGGGTCACACAAAGAGGCGTGCAGCGTGTGAGCATTTCCATAGGGGATGTACAGTTTCCATGAAGAATATCATTTATACGCTGCACAAAATCATTTTCTTGCAAGAGAATATTTCTCCTCGTATGACTGTTTATAAAAAAGAACGTATCTGGTGAAATTTGAATACTGAATGATGAAGTCGCTCATGGATTTGTGAATAACTGGAAGTGTGACTCCCGCAACAGATTGTTTTTTAATTAATATGTGTTTTCCTGACAAACAAGCATATAGTCAACTCCTGATAACTTGGGATCATTGTGACTCTGCACTTAACCAGAATATGCACATAACAGAAATGAGTGAACCAGTGTGATTTAAAGGTGACCAGTAGCACTTTACTTTATTAAACTGGATCTGCAAACTACAGAGATTCAACTCTTTGGGAGTAAAGGAATAAATAAACCTTCAAGATTGTTTTTGAAGATAATTTTGCAGTGAAAAAAATCTAACATTATTTTTACAACATCTTTCTCCAGAGTAACTAAAAAAACCTGACTAATCCAGTCTCTCGGTTGCATTTCATTTCTTTCTGCATACTTGAGGCTTGTTTTTCACTGAGGATTGATTGCCGTTTTGGTACTGTGCAATTAGGCTGACCATCGCTTGGCCCGGCCTGGTACCCCCAAGCCATAAAAAATGTATTTAATGAGCCGACAAACACCACAAATTCACCGCTGCCTGAGAAGAGAAAACATAACCGTGGAACTGAGACCTGTGAAGAAGGAGCATGAAAGTGGGGCGAGAGAGGTATGGGGGGGAAAGGGGGTGGGGGATGGGGGTAAGATCATTATTTATTTGTTTAACGGGCGCCTTTATCTGCGTCGACTTGGAGCGAACAAAGAAAAATGCAAAAATGCAGCTGAAAAAACACGCTCATGCACACGCATTATGATCCTCCGCCTTAACCCTGGGCTTAACTTATAAAATGTTTATTAATATTGGCTCCAATGAATGGCTGACAATGAAGCCCAGGCCCGGGCCAGAAACTAGAGTTTCAAGCCTGTTGCCAGACACCGACTGAGAAACAAATACACAGCATGGAGCTCACAGCGCAGATGATTAAAAAACAAGCAAGCGAGACGCCCAAATATTTATGTACGGTCCACCAAGATCGCACGGAGTTCAATAGAGTAGTATATGATTTTGGAATACTTTTCTAGGACTGTTTGGAAAGACATTTGACCGGCAGTCTCTGTCGTCATCAGCAGATAGCAGTTTTAAATCACTGTCAGGGCAAGCTTGTGAGGGGAACTTGAAAACACCCTCTTTGCCGTCATTTCTCTGCACAAATATTGACTAATGATGAAGCTCTTTGTCGTCAACATTTGGCACAGGGTCAGTAACATGGAGGTCAGTGCGAAGACTAGGCGTCAGGTGTTGCACCATGCGTCTCTGGCCTACATAAAGTTACACTATTACATTATTGTCATTTTAGCATATGTTCTTAACCACAGCAGACTTAAACAGGTTAAAATTTTTACATGTTATCCATTTATACAGGTAGATGTTTGCTGAGGCAATTTTGAGTTAAGTAACTTGCCCAGGGGTACTCAGCGGAGAAT